TGCGTCAAGTCATCATCAACATCGCACATCATAATCATTGTATGCACTTCTCCTTTCTTCTCTTTGCTTCAAGTTCTAACAAATCTCCAAGCCTAAATAACTGAAATCTTGCACAAAATGTAAAGAAAACAAGATAAAATGTTACCTGAAAGGAATGCAGAATGAGAGAATAAGAACCCTAGCCGACTTCTTTTGTTTTTAGAATAAGAAAAAAAAAAAAAGGAACAAATGTATCTCTTTGCTATTTATACGAAACCCAAAAAATCCAAAATAAAAAATGACATTGTTTGCATAAATACACATATATACACGCATGTGATTCACACATGCTTCCATTGCTTCACTCACCCATTCCATGCGTCTCCCATCTACTTTGTTCCTCTGCATGCCTTATCATCTTTTAATAAGGTTGTTGTGCACCGGATTGTGTTTATCAGTAGTCATCATTATCGTCACATTTATCTGCCATCATCACGCCAAAGGCTACCCACTTCGCTTACCCTTTAGCTTCCCTGTAAAAAGAAAGGAAAACGAACCTAACCTCCTTTCATGCACAACATGTTTCTGAAATGAAGAAGATAGGAGATGCCATTGTTGTTCGAATGATGCCCAAGGGCTTTCTTTTCCGTCCATGATTTTAATAGTTTACTAAAACGATGTTGTTCGACCATTAAAAAGTTTATTGTCAAACCACATCCTTCCCAATCGAAAGTGTTATATGCCTTGTCAAAAGTTCATTTTCATAAGACTAGCTACCTCCCCTTTCTAAGAGTAATAACTGTCTCACTACCAATTAAGACTTAATCCAAAAGTTACTTTTTCCCCAATGAAAGGAAATGAAATTCAATATTTAAACTACTGAAATTAGCAATAAAAAATAAATGATTGTTACTATTAAATGCTATCTAATTCTGGTATTATGTTAAACGATAAAATATTGTCAACTATCTAAAAATTTTAAACCCATAGAATACAGTTTGATTTATTATTTATATATATTTCTTTGAAGAGTAAATAAATATTGATTAAATATATATGAGAAGAAGCCCTTGTAAAGCCCACAGCCCATATTATTTATTACATACATATATAATACACATATATCTATATGTGTACAAATATCAATTCAATATTAAATGATGCTGGCATTTAACGTTCTTTTCGGAAGCACTGGGCTGGCATTAAACATAAAAAAAGACCATTAGCAAAGGAAATAGCTTACTTAACTAAATAAATAAATTTATTTTTAACTTTCATTCTATTAACGTACTCAATGATGCAATGGGTTCAATTATGCTGCAGCTGAATAAACTTGACTTTCTTATTTATTATTGGGAGCATTAGGCTGGCGTTAAACATTTAAAAAAAAAGACCATTAGGCAAGGAATTAGCTTACCTAACCAAATAAATAAATTTGAGCGTCAACAATTGGGATTATAATAAGATTCATTTTATTGACATAACCAATGATGCAACGTGCTCACTTGTGCAAGTAAATGATCTATTAACCTGAGTATACAACTTTTGCAGAAATGCTCCATTTGCACATCTCTGAAAGGCATCCGTCAGCACTTCGTGAGAAAAACAAAGTATAGATATGGAGGCAACGTACAAGAAGATGATTCTTCAACGATTTTAAAGTTGAAGATGGATTGATCAACCTTGAGGTATACTTATCATTTATGTAATTATTAGCTTAATTTTAACAAAAGCTAACAGATTTATGTGTCAATTTCTTAGTCGCTTGATTTAGGGTTCATGCCCTGGATTTCTTTTGTTCTACAATTGGTTCTTACCAGATGTTGAAAACTACTCTAAGGTTACATCTTTGAACATATAAAGTTCATTAATCTTTTAGAGAAGTAAATTAAAGTCTGTTTACAGAAAAATGGAAAAACACATAGTTAGAAGAGGAAAATTACTTCATTTTGAACGGAATCAGACCTTTTGTGTCATGATTTCTGGTCTCCTAACCGTAGTTCTTATTGTTTCTACAAAGTTGTTAGCATCAGAAGTCAAAGGATGTGGCGGGTTCGGGTATGGGTTGAAGATCCGAGAGGCCTGGAGTTTGACAAAGTCAGCCATTTGGAAATTCAGGTACTTAATTGTCATTTTATATATTCAACCCACAATTAAAAGCTTAAAACTGAGCTGGAAACAAAGTTATGGCCATAAAAAGTAACAATAATCAGAGTTAATTCGGCCCCTAATATCCAGAAAGCCTTTTTTTAAGCCCATAACAGAAATTATCAAAAAGCTTCTATTCCATAAGAGACCAAGAGTACGTTCAGTTAACTTATCTTGGGCCTGCTTGAATTAAGAACTTCGTCCGTTTGCTCTTCTAGTCCTTTCTCTTACCACGCTTTCTTGCGGCGCAATTACAAAAGCAGGGTTTCTTGGGGCAAACCCTTGTAATGGCTTACTAGAGAATCTCCATCTCTAGATTTGCGAAAGAAAATCCCTAATTATCAAAATCTGAGATGGACAACCTTAAGATCTTTGATCCTTTCTCCAGCAAATTCCTAGATCTTGTCTTCTCCATCCTCCATGTTCTAAATCGTACTGAAAGCTTGAAGCTGATTCTTCCCGTTTGTAGGTATGGAGAATTGGTGTTCCAGGTGGAAGAAGTGTTTGACCATAACCAGCGGTTGTGTCTCATTCTTTTAAGTTGGCGGGAGAGAGGAGGAGGTCACTGGAAGATCTTGAAGACTTCTCTGAGGTTGCCGGAAGCTCCCTTTATCCCGGAAATGGTCGCCGGATTCATTTCTTTGTTTCTTTTCTTCCTCCGACGGATTGGCAACTTCCAGCTCACACTTCCTTTGGGCAATGGTCTCACACTTTTCTCACGAATACAAGACATCTCTGACCCCAACCACCGGAATAGGAACTTACATGCTATACAGATAGGAACCAGAAGCAAAACAGGATATTACCTCCTCTTCAAGGCTCGATTCAAATAGCCTATATATATATACACACGCGCAGAGACACGGGTAATTACGTCATATGAAATAAGAATCACATATCTATCTGTTTATTTTCTTGCACCTTTTTTTTTTTTTTTTTTTTGTCTACGGCCTACTCCTTTCTATTTTTGTTCTTTAATACTATCAGAAATGCATGCATATATGTTGATTGTGGACTATTTTCTTTAACCACAGGTGTCAGGGGATTTTTTGTCGGATGCAAGCAATACGAAACAGTAATTAGGGTTCTGATATATTTTGGTTATACATTTAGGAATGTATACTTGCTACCCATTTGGTTCATAATTTCGTATTCAGTTCCTAAGTAAATTAATTCATCCAAGCTGGCTATGGCCTCGGATGCTAAGTTTGTTTTCGGGATTATATTCTTTGCTCAACATGGAAACTTTCTTAATGGAGATTTTGACGACTGTCATCTTGCTCCTCGGCTTACTCGTGGATTTATCTATCAAGTTTAAACGTTTGCGCCTGTCTACAGAATTTTCAGCCTTGCTGAAATCCCAAGCACAAGTTTCGGGCTTCTTGTCACTTCAAGGGTTGGAGTAAGTTTTTATAAGTGGCAATTAAACTTTTCATCACTGTAAGCATGGCAATGTGGATGCTGAAACTTCCTGTTTCTCAGGCCTCTTGAGTCTTTTATTTCCTAATTCAGTGCATGCCAGTGAATTGCTGTCGGTTTGGTCTGTATTTTTAAGTGGATGTGTCTGTAGCTGTTCCTAGTTCTCAAAACTGCTACAAATTTGTTGATTGTGTACCTTATTAGCTTCATAATAATAAGATGTTTGTTGTTGAATTTTGTAACTCTTAATTTTCATTTCCATTCCTTAAAAACTAAATAATGTATAAGATTAGCCTGCATATATATGCATGCATAATTGAAAAAAATGATTTTTGTGTTTAAGTTACCAAACATCTAGAATGGATTTATGACCTAGAAATTAATTTATAAGAGTTGGAATAAGCTAAACACAAAGTGCATGAAATGAACCAACTACGTTTAGAATCGATTAGAATTTTGACATTTTTAAACATGTAAATGTAGTAGTAGATTTAGAAATTACTTCTGCAATTTCTAATTTGTATAATTCGTTTACTTCAAACTCTGCACGACCAATCCAATCTTGATTAGGGTTTGGTTGTGAATTCGAAATGATAATGTGACAGTAGTCATTATGAGTGCTACACGTGATGCTTGTATTAATTGGTACTTTTCCTTACAAGCTTATTTTTGTATTACTTAAAAGTTCCTAACTACTTACATTCGGGACAAATGAATAATAATGCACGGAAGAAGTTGTAAAAAGTCCTTTACACATAAAAGTATTTTTAACTATGTTTAAAAATGATTTGAGTGTAGAGAAACTATAAGCGATAGTTGTAGTAGTCACACAAAATATTAAGACTTAAAATATATTTAAATTTGTTATTAAAAAAAAAAAAAGCTATGACAATAAAATGCAGTCAATTTAGATCAGCACAACTGCTTGATTTAATTTATTTGATATAAATTATCAAAGAGATTTGAGAAACCTTTCTACAAGGGAAGAGAGAGTGCGTGATCCTGATGGTGAAAAAAGCTCTTCCTGCGGGGGATCACAGCCGAAAGTATGATAAAAAATAAAAAAAATAAAATAAAAAAAGCAGTACATCTTATTTGACTGAATGGAACCGTGTCAAAGCCTCAGTTTAGTCAGAGGAAATGAGTTTTTTGTCAACAACATTCATGTAAGATCAACTTTTGAAATTCTTTAAGAATTATGGACCCGAAGTAGATACATATATTATTATATGTATGTATTATGACATAATATATATACGTGAAAGTGCAAAATACAAGAACAACCATGATGCTGAAACAATTAATGACATTAAATATTAATTAATTACTGATATATCATCTCCAAATATGCATAAGGCAGTAACTGTTACATTATTAAATGCTACATATACATATGCATACATCTATATATCTGTGAATATCAATCCCACCACAAAAACACATTTAACGGCAAATCACGCAGCCATGCAGCCAACGCCATACCTGGTATTAGGAAACACAAGGAACAAGCCACTGCAAATAATACCCACCATTAGCGGAAAACTTTCCATCACCTGATCCATCTCTTTCTCGTGTCCAGGGAACAGGCAATTCGTCACGCGATGATCAGAGAAGGCTATTGCCATGAACACCATCACTGACATGATTGCATGCACGAAGTCAGTCAGGCCTAACTTATACCTCTCATCTGTCGGAATCTCCACGTCCAGCCCGGTCTTGAACACCGCCAACCCTTTCGGCGTAACCATGCCGTAGTAAACTTTCCCGTCGGGGCCGCGAAAGCTGTCCGTGAAGTGGAAGAAGAAGCAGGAGAGAGCGCAAAGGGTTAACAGAACGTGGATCATCATGGTGTTGATCGCCGTGCAATCGCCGTAACGGTAAACGGACGGGAGAACCATCTCGAAGGTCAAAAGGGTCCCTGTGGGGAGGAAGTTCACGAGCATTGAGGTTTTGGATATGGTTTTCTGCATTCCCTTTGCCACTGCACGCCTTTTCCGGCCACCACCGTTTTTGTTTCCGGCGTCAGCGCCGGGTATGACTCCCGGAAGCAACTGAGGAAGAGAAGGGTTTCGGGATGGGGTTGCACTGTACACCCTGATGCCCATTCCTTCTTCAGTTTGCTCCATTGTTGGTTTTGGAGAGAAGGAAATGCAGAACAGTTTTTTTTGTGAGTAATGTTTAAGGGTGAATATAGTTGTATAAGTATATATACAGTTTGAATTTGAAAAGTTTAAGGTAGTTATTGACGGTTAATAACTTCTGTACAACGGTTGCTGCAGCGCTTTTAGTCTTGTTAGAAAAACACGTGCATTAGTACATAAAAAATGAATATACATTTATAACACCCAAAAACCTCATAATGCCCCCAACCCATAACTTCGAAAAGAAATCACAAAAATATTTTTTTGCATGTGAAAGAATATATAGATACTTTTATAAGTGATATCTGAATAGTATATAATATTCTTTTTTTATTGAAAGTCACTATTATGAAGAAGTGGCTGGATCGATTCCAAAAGCAACAAAAAAATAAAACTTTAAAACCAATTCACTTTCTTGTTTTTGTTAAAAATAATTTGTAACTTAAAGTTAAAAATTCAAAGTTCGCAACGTGACGGTTGGAGAATGACCTTGAGCATTGCAGAAGAGCAGAAAAATCCAGACTTGCCATGAAAATTCTGGAAAGACGTGATCATCGGCAATGAGAAAGAATAGAAGAAAACAGGATGATGTTGAAAAAGAAGAGAAAGAAATTGACGGTAATTAGGAAGAGGAAGAGGAAGAAGAAGAATCTGTAAAAACTTCAGCAGTGTTAAGACAAGATGAAATGAGCAATACAAGCTATATATATATGTGTGTGTGTGGGTGGGTGGGTTTATGTGTATGGATATCAAAAGAGAAAACGCAAAACAGATGCATGTTATACCACCCTTTTACTAACTAAAAAGGCCCCTTCCATTATTTCAACTTTCATCCTTCTCTTTTAACCCTCCAACTTCCCGCTATTTCTTGTTTAGCTTCCAAATTATTTTTTCTTTGCGTCTTGTTCCAAAATTAATTCCAGTACATAAATTAATCCAACAGGGTCCTACAACTCCCTCAATTTTACATAAAAGCCAACAGTCTTCCAACTACCTAAAATTGACCTCAGAGCAGCAATGAGCTTTCGTTTGATTATTTCCGACAAAGCACATTAATCTATAGGGTAACATGATAAAAAAATTTACTCATTTCCAACAATGTATTAGACACTTCGAGGAATCTTTTTACATCGACCAATCATGAAGCACAAGCATCATGTATGGTAGCAAAGAAGAAAGAGTGCAAAGAACAAAAGATCAAAGACTTGTATAATTATATGAATTGCTTTCTTATCATTCTTACTATTAATTTCAATTAAATCATCCACTTCATATGGAACATGAAAACTATCTACAATAATATTCCATATATCAAGACTCATAACTTGACTGAAAATTTTCATTCCAGCTTCCCAATAAGTATAATTTTTTCCATCAAAGAGTAGCAGCCTAGAAATAAAATGACTTTCATTAAACAAGGTCGCTATGAGATCATCACTCTAAGATAGTTAAGCCAAACAAAATTAAATTGTAACACCCAAATCTGCAATTTAGACCAAGATAATTAAAGCATAATAATAAAATAAATTAGAAATAATTCATTTATAATTTTTAATCGAATTTTGAATAAATTATATATGAATGTATTTAAAAATATTTCAAAAATTAGATCTAAAATAGAAATAGGGGATGACCTATTTGAAATGAAATCTAAAAAACTAGAGCAAAAGTGAAAATAATAAAAATTTCGCCACGTGGACTGCCACGTCAGCAGCACGACCGGTCATCGTGCACCACATGGCAGACACGCGTCCACACGAGAAGCCACACAGGCGATCCGCGTGCTAGAAGATCCAACGGTCCAGATCTCATCCCCCGCGCACGAACGGTCCATATTTGTTTCCTCTTCAAGTGCGATCAAATGGCTAGATTTAATCAGATCAAGCAGCCCATATTAATTCCCCAAATAAGAGCGATTCAACGATGGGGAATGGGTCACGTGTCCCTGCATGGACGGCCTAGATCAATGCGTAAAAGGTATATAAGCATTGCATCCCAGAAACCCTAACCCTAACCACACCTGAGCTTGTCGGAGAAGAAGAAGAAAGACGGCCAGAAGGAAAACCAACTGTCGTCACCGCTGCACGGAGCCACCATTGACACGGGGGAGGTGATTTTTTTCTCCTTTCACTTCAGAAATTGATTTTAAGCCTTCCCACACCTATATTGGAGCCAAAAAGGCAAAAGAAAAGCCAGAAACTAAGAACGGAGCTCAGTCGAGCCACTGCAGTCGCGACCTAAAAACTGCTCCGGTGAGCCCGATCCTGCTTCCCGTTCCCTTCAATCTTTCAACCATTGAATTCCTAACATATTTCTAGTGCAGTGCGACTGAAGGAAATCCTGGGCCGGGAGAGAGGAATGGCAGAACCGTCGCACCGAAAAACTCCTCCGTCGATGAGTTCTAGTTTTTCCCTTAAATTTTGTAGGTTTTCATACAAAACTGGCTGAAACTAGTCGGGCCAAGAGGAGACGCCGTCATGGGCGTCAGAGCCAACACTAGAGCACGGCGACGCCACCGTGCGAGAACCGTAAAACGGTCAGAAAATTTAAAAATCCTTATTTTTGGTCTGTTTGAGGTATTTTAGAATACATGATGTGTATTTTTTATTTTAGCATAAAAAACTCAAGAAACTCGGGAATTGGCAGAAGGTGCTGTGAAAAAAGGCGGTGTTTCGACCACTGACACAGAGTAAAAATCCCTTACCCTTTCCTCTTGTTAGGGTTAATTAAAGTTCAATAAATAATAATGGTGTATTTGTAAATATTAGAAATTCCTAATTAATTAAATACAGGTCATCAGCGGAGCTGGTAACTGGTCAATGTAAAATTGTCCTACCTTATTTGTAACGGCCCCGGAAATTTAAAATGAAATGTATATTAAAAATATCAAATGCGGAAGCGAAGTCAAAAATTCGATTAACATCCCTTACACTAAAACCAAAAATGTGTTCACAAAATATAAAAGATCAAACTACCTAAAGGAGAAACTTGAAAGTAAAAGCTACGAATATGACTATGGAGTCTTCAGGCGTCTCCTTCGTTGTCCTCCTGCGAAACCGGCTCGGGAATAATGTCTTCCTGATCTGAAATAATTAAATAAGGAATGAGCTACACTAGCCCAGTAAAGACATCACGATATCTCATCGTCACGGAGGTAAAGGTGGGTAGAAAACACAAAAAGACCAATGGAGCATAATTTACAACAAATTCTTTTATCAATAATAAATCCTTCACCATCCACTTACCTCGATGAAATTCATAAAACAGTGTACGAAAGCAATAATATTATCATCATCATGAAATCATATGCGAACTGTATAACATAATACTTATTAAGCCTTTTGTAATTCAATCGTTACACAACATATTTTCCTCATTTACCAGCCCACTAGTATCCATGGGGATCCATAGGGGTCCCGCTACCCATTAACCCTTAACACTTGAAATCAGATTCCAGGGCCGTCCCCATACCCCGTCCGGTATGGGCGCCAAAACTATAAACCTCATTACCCCGTCCGGTATGAGGGTGAAACGGACCGTCCCCATACCCCGTCCGGTATGGGCGCCAAAACACATAAGATCTCCATACCCCGTCCGGTATGGGAGACCACAATCCCGGTAGGGTTCCCTACGGACCCGGTCCGTCCACCATCTCCCAGGATATCTAGTCAGGCTGACCACATTATACAATTACCCATTTACATAATTTTTAATTCTCTTTTTCCTCACTCAGCATCATTAATCCACATACAAACAAGCAAAACAGTAATTTATGCCAAACAGACAACATACAGCATCAATATCCCAGTCATTCAACCCATAATCAATAAAACAGTACAATATGCACACAAAACTATAAAATGAAAACATCAAACCTCATACTGCATTTAAAACTGTAAAACAGGCCAAATAACAGTTAACCGACAAACACACTAGACTCGGGCTCCATTAGCGACCTTAAGCAATTTCACACATTCGTTGATTCATGGAATACCGTTTTATCATTTATTGAACTTTAAAACCGTGATAGGAAATAGGGTGAGGGGTCCTTACACGTTTCGGGGTCCGAACACGGCTTCACAGAGCGCCTACAAACTGTCCCTAATTTTCCCTGAAATTTTTCCCAGGGAACTGAAACGCACTACTGGTACCTGCACGTGTTCCAAAAAATCCCAAATTAGGCCCAGGGCCCCTTTTTGGCCAATATCGCAATTCCAGCACGGCGGCTCCGCCGCTTGTGGCGGCGATTCGCCTCGGTTTGGCCGTTTTTTGCCGTTTCTGGCCGAATTCGGCCACACTTGCATCGATCCTTGCGATAAAACAACCCTAGGGCCCTCGGGGGGCCAAAAAATTAGGAAAAACCGAAGCTTACCGGCGGCGGTGCTCTCGGGTGCGGCGGCTCTCCGGTGAAGTTCATGTTTTGGTGATTCGGCTCCGATCAACCTGTAGAGAAAAGAATGGTGATCACGGTGATATAAAAATTGCATCAAACGGAGGTCGGAAAGGGCCTCATCGGAGGCAAAAATCGAGAAGGGGCGCGGCGGTGCCGCTGGGTTTCGGCCGTGTTTTTCGGCCGTTTGGCCGGGATTTTGGCTCCGATTTGGCCACAGGGGAAATCAGCATGGAAAAACGAGTCGGGGTATGAAATTTACCTCGATCGGCGGTCGGAAATCTCCCCGGTGCGGCGACGGGTGGCGACGGCCGGCGTCTCCGGCGTCTGGTTCGTCTTCTCCGGCGAGGGCAGGCGACTAGGGTTTTTGTGGTCTGGTGTGGGGGTTCTATTTATACCCTTTTGCCTTTTGATTTCAGCCCTCCATTTTGTTTTAATTTGGGTTGTCCGTTTTTTGAATAAATTTGGGCCGTCCGTGGGATTTTAATTTGGGCCGTCCGTATGCACGCTTGATTTGGGCCATCCGATTGGGTGTACGCGGATCGCCAAAGTGGCCCGTCCCCGGTTGACGGGGGTTTACCACGGGGCCGGTTCT